AGAGAAAGAAACAAGGAACCTTTTCGCTAACAAGGACTTCAGGATGGCAAACGCTTCCACACTGTCAAAACCATCTGTGTGTCAGAACAGCAAACAAAGCCCCAAACCAGTGACAACCCTGTGTGTGAGATCGGGGTCTCTCAGACAGTGCTGGTGGAATGTGGAGTGTCGCAGCATTCCTTGGAAAGTTAAACAGGTGCTCACCATGACCTTCACAACTGTGCTCTTGGCTCTTCATCCCAGAGATATGAAAACTATGTTCACACAAGTGATGGTGGATGATGTTCATAGCAGCTTTGTGTGCAACGACTCCATTCTGAAAAGACCCAAGCACTGTTCCAAGGAGGCCAGGTAAACAAACAATGGAGGCCACAACCATATCGAAGAATAAGCCACAGCGTGCACACTCAACCGCCTGTGTGATGGTGGAGCTTAAACCAAAACTGCTGAGCGCAGGAGGTGCCACAGGGATGCATTTGTGCAGAGATGATGGCACCAGAGAAGCGGAAGAACAGCATCCTGGTGGTCTGCAAGGAGGGAGGATATGGAGGAAGTTGGCCGCATCTATGACGGGGGCGTAAGGCATGCTGAAACGGCACTGGATCCATCCTTTATTGTATTAAGAGTCAGATGATTCTACATGGCAACATCACATACATGTAGCCAGACGCAAAGACACAAAGCACATACACACTCACACACAGAGACACAGACACAGCTAGATGCACAAGCACAGAGGCAGGATGTTGGCGTGGAAACTGGGGAAAGTCTGCAGTCTGAGCAAGGTTAACGGTTGGTATCATGGTTAAATCCCTGACTATGCTGTAGTTTGGAAGATGTTATCACTGGCGAGACCAGGTGAAGGGTGCATGTGTGAGATCTATATTATTAATTTTCTTCTCCCTTCTCTCCTGTCTCCCTCTTTCCTTTCTTTACATTCTTCCTTCTTTCCTTTCTTCCTCTCTTGTCCTCCTTCTTTTTTTTTCTGGCCACAACTCGCCATCCTTCTGAGTGCTACAATCACATCAGCCTTAGCTCTCTATGTGATATCTTGCAGTTGCAATAAGGCAATAAATAAATTTTCTCCCCAAACAGAAAATTTAACAGATTGTTTCAGCTGAGTACCCGCGGTCTTATGCATCGTTCCAGAAGCTCCCTTGAGGGTTAGAGTTAGGGTTGGGGTTTGGGTAGAGTTAGGGTTAAGGTTAGGGCCCTATTCTGGATAGCCAGAAGTGAGAACCTACTTTGGGCATGAGAACATGCTTTTCTGTGTCATTTGATAAAACCTTTATTTCTTGCTAACACCACCACTCAATAATGTGAGTCGTTCCTCCACATCTTCCTTCAGACTTAGCACATCCGGGGTCTGAGAATTCTCACTGGCATAAGGAATGTGAAACCATGTCTTATCACTGCTTTATTTTTTTCCCCCTCTGATTAGCTGAGGGTTAAAATTCTTCTCATACCTTATTAATCAATTTGGGGTTGATTTCTTAGACCTTAGAGAGTGTTCAGTCACACATCTAATGTCATATGTTCAGAGATTGAGCTCTACTATTCAGACATCTTTTTATTTTTTATTTTTAATTTTGGAGACAGGGTCTCATGCCTCATGTTGTTTAGTGGCCTGAAACTCTCTGTGTGGGAGACCTTGAACATTTATCTTCTTGCCTTCATTCCAAGTGCTGGGTGACATGCATGTATCACCCTGCCAGGTTTCATGGGATGCTAGGGATTGAACCCAGAGCCTTGTGCTTGCTAAGCAAGGGTTCCACTAACCAAGGTACATCCCAGCCCATTGACTTTCTTTCCTTCCTTCCTTCCTTCCTTCCTTCCTTCCTTCCTTCCTTCCTTCC